TTAGGGCTTTAGGGTTTAGGTTTGAGGCTTAGGGGTTTAGGGCTTATAGGGTTTAGGGACTGTTGGGGATACAGACAGGTCCCTTTTAAGAGAGCCAGAAGTGGGGTTCAGAAGGGTCCCCTTTGAGGGGTCTCCCTGATACTACCTAGGAGAACCTCAGAACCACACGGCACGTCACTTCAGGATTATAAGGGTGCAATTAAGGGTTTAGGGTTCAGGGTTTGGGGTTTAGGGTTCAGGGTTTAGGGTTCAGGGTTTAAGCTTAGGGTTCAGGGCTTAGGGTTAGGGTTCAGGGTTGAGGGTTCAGTGTTGAAGGTTTAGGGTTGAGGGTTTAGGGGTTGACTGACTTGTGGTTCGAGTTTACGGTCGGTTTGGTGTTTAGGGTTTAGGGTTTAGGGTTTAGGGTTTAGGGTGTCCTTCACAAGGTTTAGGGTTTCATTCCGAGTTCGGATGCGGTGCGGGTCCGGGTTCTTAGCAAAGGCATACGCTTGCCTTTCAGAAGCTACTGACTAGTAGAGCCTTGGAGCAAAAAGATGATAGATATTTCACTCTTCCTTATAAGTAAGGAACATACCTTAACTTCCCTAATATTATGATGAGGTCTTTTCCTTAATTAAGGGATCTTGGAAGGTCTGGGTAAGGTAATTACCACAAGGGGTCCGGGCTCTATGTTTTACGATAATGCTTTAATTATGTATAGAAGTAGAAATTAGAACAGTAGGGTTTTGGGGTACATTCGATGGTATGAGGGCATGAATTATTCAGCCCCTACTGTATCTCGGACCCTTACGGATGTGCTTCTGACTCGGGGCTGTTCGGCTTCTGTCGCCACTTAGTCGGAACCCCACCAAGCACAAGCAACAAAACAAACAAAGCTCTCGTCAACAAAGTAACGCCCGCCACAAAACCCTTCGAATGTGGAAGACTGCAATATCTAAACAACAACACTACCGAAACATCCTTGTTCCTTCTTAGGGTTACCTTATAGTTATAGGAACCTATATAAAACACCCGGTCAAAACAGGAAGATACTACAATGGAGTCTATAGGTAAACCCCAAACCGCATAAACCTTCAAGCCCTAAACCCTAAAACTAAACCCTAAACCCTAAACCCTAAACGTGGCTGCTCGCCGGAGACCGAAGGTCAAAGTTGCTGACTCCGAAAACTCCAAACGTCCTCCTAACGTCGGGGCCGTAATTAGTAATCAGAATAGGGTCTTGGGGCCCATTATACTATAGTTATACTATCAATAAAGAACCCCCCCCCAAAAAAAAACAAATATTGGTAATTATCTAGGCCCCTACATTAATTCTTGGGTTTAGGGTCTAGGGCCTAGGCTTCAGGGATATGTCGACTGAATACCTTGTACTCTAGGCTTCAGGCATGTTCTTGAGAGCCCAAATCTTGTCCTTCTTCTCCTCCATCGCTTCATCTTCCTGTTTCGAAAGCAGCAGCACTTCAGTTTGTGTTTAACGTGTTGTTCTCGAACTGCCGCGTCATTCAACTTCTCTCCAAGACAGACTGCAACTGCACGCACCCTCAACGTCCAACACTGTGCAAAGAACGATCTGGAGCATGGCGGAAGGGAGGGATTTGCAGATGCACGTATGATGTATGTATGCATGCATGCATGCATGCCTGTACATACATCGGTAAGCAACAAGAGTTTACATATGCACATATAAACGTGTGTGTGTGGGTGTGGGTGCGGGTGCGGGTGCGGGTGTGGGTGCGGGTGCGGGTGCGGGTGCGGGTGCGGGTGCGGGTGTGGGTGTGGGTGTGGGTGTGGGTGTGGGTGTGGGTGTGGGTGTGGTGTGGGTGTGGGTGTGGGTGTGGGTGTGGGTGTGGGTGTGGGTGTGGGTGTGGGTGTGGGTGTGGGTGTGGGTGTGGGTGTGGGGGTGTTTGTGTGTGTGTAATATGCAGACATACAGCACACACACACACACACACGCACACCCGTGAATGCATATGTATCTACGCATATAACATAAACTGCATCTCGCGACCGAGAAAACTTCATCAACAAAAAGGTCTGCAGGCAGTGGAAGCTCATGTTGTCTTAGTTCGAAGATCTTGCCACTGCAGCAGCCACTGCAGCTTAGTACCATTCCGCAAAAACAGCCGGAACCTTTGTAATCGGAAGAGGGCTTTGACGTCTATTATAGTCTCTTGTTTTATTTAACAAGGAAGCCTAAAGCCTAAAGCCTAAAGCCTAAACCCTAAACTCCAAACCGTGGCTAAGGAATAGTACCTTAAACCCTAAACCCTAAACCTTAACCGTATTCAGACTTCTACAGTACCTGTGGGTTAGGGAGGCAAAGCTTCGGGACGCCTGCTGGGCTTCACCTACCCTAAGGGTCCATGTGCCCCAAAAGGGGGTTCCTTTAAGGGTTACTGTAAGGTCTCTATAAGGGTTCCTTTAAGGGTTACTACAAGGTCTCTATAAGGGTTCCTTTGAGGGTTCTGTAGAATTTAAGGTATACGGGTCCATGTGCCCAAAAAGGATATACTTTGGCCTTACAGTAGTCCCTATATGGGTACTTTGGGGCCAAAGTATATACTATTCGGGCACATGGACCCTTCGCGCTATGTCCAACGCCCTGGATGCCGACACCAGTCACCAGCGCTTCTGATCTGTGCCGCAGCCCCGCTCCCTAAACCCTAAACAGGTATCCCTAAACAGGTACAGCGAGGGTTTAGCGAGTAGGGTTCGGTACTTACACCGCTGACTCCTCGGCTGAAAAGACGAGAAAGTCGACACAAACCCTAAACCCTTATCCTAAACCCTGCGCCCTAAATGCCTAGATCCTAAACCCTAGACCCTCAACCCTAATCCTAAACCCTGCACCTAAATCCCTAAATCCTAAACCCTAAGCCCTAAACCTTATACCTGAGGCCCTAAACCGAACCTAAGACTTGAAACCTGAACCTTGGAATCCCATGCCCCCAAAATCCTAGCCACTACAGACTGAAGGGCTCAGAATCCGAAATCACATAAAACCTATAAGACCCTGTAAGATATTCCAGGAGAAGGCCTATATAAGGGTTTAGGGTTTAGGGTTTAGGGTTTAGGGGTTTAGGGTCTATGGGTTTAGGGTTTAGGGTTTAGGGGTATCATACAAAACTCCATAGGCAGTCCTTCATGGAGTAGTAGATGGGCCGGAAGATCTGATCCACCTCGGTCATCAGTGCAACAGAAAAGTACAGGTGTTCGGTTGAAGTGCGGGTTTACGATGGGTTTAGGGTTTAGGGTTTAGGGTTCAGGGTTAGGGTTTAGGGTTTAGGGTTTAGGCTTTAGGGTTTTAGGGTTTTAGGGTTTAGGGTTCACGATGCAGAGTATTAGGGCTTGGGATTACTGTTGGGGTTCAGAGTCAAAAAGTGAGCCCCTTAAGTCTTGAAGTTAGGGGGTAGAAGCTTAGGATATATGGCTTAGGATGCTTAGGGTTTTGAGGCTTCCGGACGCAGCTTGAATACACTTTGCACCTCAAGAAGCAGTACACTGCAGCAACGAAGCCGAGTTCCCGTCAACTTGGCACCCTTTCCCCTGAAACAACTTCACCCTCTCAGGTATCGAGTCAACTTTTGAAGTCGTCAGCTCCCCTAAACCCTAAACCCTAACAGCAAACAACACCTAAATCCGAAACCCTACACCCTTAAACCCCTAAACCCCCAACCCCATAAACCATAAACCCTTCACGCTTCGGCCGTGAAGCCTACAACGACTTGGGTCTGTAGAGGAATAGCGTGTCAATCAACACTAGAGTGTGTGCAGGCAGCTATGGGGTTTCATAGTTCCCAGAGGGGTTTAGGGTTTAGGGTTTAGGGTTGCTGAGAACATAGTCTTTGAAGGCAGAACACACCCTCTGCCCCCCTCTGCTCGTGGTGTCGTGATCCGTCTAGCCTGTTGAATTCGTCACAGGGGCTGCGAAAAGGGAATTTCAGACGATGCAGGCCCCGAATATGGAATCTAACGCTAAGTTTTTGTAATTGTCGTAAGGACCCGAAGAGGGACCCGAACAAAAGGGTCTTTAGCAGAAGGGTCCCTAAATGATGGATCCCCTTGCATTGCGTTAAGCAAAACTCATATCATGTCGCGTGGACAGTCCTCACGCGGCCGAACGTCTTTGCTGCTCACGGTTCTGGGTCCAGGATACTGCTGCTGCTACAACCACTCCGACGACGACAAGTACTACTGCTGCTGCTACCACTACTACTACTACTACTACTACTACTACTACTACTACTACTCGTTACCACGACGACGACTACTGCTACTCCTCATACTCCTAATCCTACTCCTGCTCCTACGACGACGACTACTACTTCTACTCCGGCTGCTGCTGGTGCTAGGACTGACAGTGCTGACGACAAATACCTAGTAATTAATAACAACAAACTAGATACATTCAAAGTATGCTGCTTGTAGGCCCGTACTGGCGCTATTCATCTGCAAATCGTGCGATAATCCAACGGGAAGTATGTCCCTAAACCCTAAACCCCTAAACCCTAAATGTGTGTCTGTATGCGCTGTCTCAATTTTCCTCGGAGCATGCTAAGGCCTAAACTCGACACCCCCCTAAACCCTAAACCCCTAAACCCAAAACCCAAAACCCAAAACCCTAAACCCTAAACCCTGAACCCTAAACCCTATCTCGAGTCGGATCGGACTCTCGGCCCCAAGCAATGTGGCGGGTTAGCTTCTCGACTGCCTCTCTTTCCTTCTCGTTGATGCCCTGCCAGCCACATAAGACTTCTTTCCAGGGTTCGGAAACCAGGGTTCAGGGTATAGAAGGTAGTGGCCTTGCTGAAGAGAATAGGGTTTCGGGGTAGAGTATACGGTATTTACACGAGGACGATAAGGGGTTTCCCAAACTGTTTGTGACTCCTATAGGACCCTGAGCCCTAGACCCAAGAACAGTCAGAAGGCATCAGCACTATGAAATCTGAAGCCCGAACCCCAAACCGTCCTTAAGAACAAAGAAACACAGCCACCTAAATTCCGAAGAACAAGGCTGCAATATAGAGGCTAGAACAGTATTCTGGGGTACGTCTTACGATAATTGTCGTTTGTATTGGAGGACATCATCAATGAATATTCCAACCCCCATTATCACCTGTTCCACCACCGGTCCTAGCACCAACCGGCGACAAGCAGGCCACACCACGGACGAAGCACGAACTGGGGCGATGCGTCCAATCTGCCCCCTTGCGCGCGGCAGAGTCAACCGCAATGCGCAATCCTGGCGCCAGCTGGCGGTACAAGTCGCGTAACTTGAATCCCGGCTGCTGGTAGTTGTCTGTCGTCAACAAGTGACATGTTGGCCTCTTGTCTTCGCATCTGGATTTTCGACAGGAGTCGGTGGGGCCACCAACGCCCCCTCCAACAAGCACTAGTAGACTATGCTCGCCGGTGTGCATTTTGGGCATAACGTGTCCTAGGCGAGCTTTCGGATTGGACGCATCGCGACTTGAGGCCTACGGTTTAGGGCATAGGATTTAGGGTTTACAGGGTCTAGGGTGCAAGGTTTAGGAGTTTAGGGGCAAAGTGGTGTCTGATTTAGGGCTCAGGGTTTAGAGTCTAGGGTTTTCGCTCTCGCAACTGGGGAGTGGCAGTTGATGGTGTCTTCGTGACAAGGATTTAGGTGTATAGTGTTTCGGGCTTTAGTGTATAGGGGTTTAGCGGTCTGGAGGTTTAATTAGCAGGAGGTTCAGGGCCAGCATTACATTTATTCACCGTGAACGCCATACACAATTGACCTCAAGCATTGCGCACCCTAAACCTCCAAAAGACCCTAAGCTCCCAAGGAAGTTCGTCACTCTCACCAGCCCCCAAAACGGAAGATTACAAGGCGACCACTACATGAGGTACAAGGCTTACAAACAGGACCAAACTCTAGGGTCTGGAGTCTGGAGCGTAGAAGCCCAATGTAGGGTTTAGGGCTTAGGGCTTTTGATTGGAATAAGGCTCTGGGGTTCATGAAAGCACATTTATTTACAGTGGCTATATGGGGGGATAGTATTACTACCCATTCCAAGCCCACAATGTATTAAACCGAACCCTTACCTCTGCAATCTTGGAAACAACACACACACACAAAAAAAACACACACACACACCAATTCTATGAGACCCGATTGGGGTTTAGGGTTTAGGGTTTCGGGTTTAGGGGTTTAGGGTTTAGGGGTTTCGGGTCTAGGGTTTAGGGGTTAGGGGGGTTTAGGGTTTTGGGTTTAAAACCATCCAAACAAGCCCCCCAAGGTTTGTCCAGGGGCCCAGAGCCCTCAAAGCACCCTGCACCTTACCTTTATAGAACCCTCTGAAGGATCCCCCCAAGGATTCCTTTAAGACATCCCTGAAGGAAACCTATATATCCCCGTAACCCCTGCAGGATCCCCTAAGGGATCCCGTTAAAGGAACCCTTTTCAATTGAACCCTAAACCCAATACTCAAATAAAGGATCCGTCTCAGGAACCCTCAAAGGAACCTTTAAAGGAGCCCTCAAAGAAACCCGAGAACGATCCACAACAGGCCAAAGCAACCCCTGAGAGGAAAGCCAACATGATTCCTTGAGTGAGCTCCAGGCTCGAAACCCTAAACAACCCTAAACCTGAGTCGAACCCTGAAGAACAACCCAAACAGAAGCCTAAATCATGAACCCTATAAACCTTCGTCGAACCCTGAGCCCTAAACCTGGACCGAACCCTAGCCCTAAAGCCCTAAACCCTAAAACCTCAAGTGAACCCTGAACCCTAAACCCTAAACCCTCAACCCGACGAATCAAACCCTAAACCTCCATCGAACCCCCACACCCAGACCTTCCACTTACTGAGTCAAGGAATATACCTAAAACCATAGCATATGAGGGTATCGGGTGTAGGGTTTAGGGTTTAGGGGTTTAGGGTTTAGGGTTACTACAATTTAAGACCTATGCTAGTATATTCCTCAAGCGCAAGGGATGTTGGAAGGTCGGGGTATGCCATCACCCTAGTCTACCTGCAGTGTCCATTGCACTTTATCGAACCCTGCCTAAAATCCTAACTGGACCCCAAAAAACCTACCTTTTTAGGGTTCCTTATTAGGATTTCTTTATATAAGTCCTTAAAAAGGTAAGTTATTTGGGGTTAAGGTAGGACCTAACCTCAACCGAACCCCAAAATTCTTAACCCTAACCCTTCATCGAACCAAAACCCTCAACCTCAACAGGACCCTCAACCCTAAACCTCAATCAAACCCTGAACCCTAAACCTCAACCGAACCCGCAACACCCAGGTCCTCCACTTACTCAAGGAATGTACCTTAAATCATATGAGGGATCCTACTAAAGGGAACCCTAAACCCTAAGCCCTGAACATCCCTAAACCCGCAACCCTAAACCCTCAACCCTAACAGTAAACCCTCAACCCTAAACCCCAAAACCCGAAATCCTGAACCCCAAAACCCTAAACCCTACACCAAAAACCCTAAACCCCCAAACCCTAAACCCTGCAACCCTAAAGCCCTGAACTTGAGAACCCTATTCCAACCCCTAAACCCTTAGCCCCAAACATCCCTAAACCCTCAAAAAAAAAGCCTTCAGCTTGTGCGCCAACTTCTCGGTCTCCTGCTTTCGAATCCGTTCGGCCATGGCCTGGATCGGCTTCTCGGCTCTGGAAGCTAGTCCATAGGCCTCATAGTAGTTCCTATTTGGGGGTTTCCGAAAATAGGGGACCCTAATATAGTACCCTAAATAGTACGACCCTTATTATAAGGACCCCAAACAAGGTACCCCATTTTCGGAAACTCCTATTCGTGGCTTAAGGAACTACGATGGGGCCTATGGGTAGTCCACAGGCCTCATAGTAGTTCCTTCTTGTGGCTCATATTTAGGATCCTATTCGGTCATCCCAACAAGGAACTACTACGGGGCCTATGGGTAGTCCATAGGCCTTTGGGCTTTTGGGGTTTAGGGTTTAGGGCTTAGGGTTTAAGGTTTAATTCGGTTTTCGGGTTTGGGAAGGCTGGTTCTTAGGATTTCCAAGGCGTCAAGTAGCTATAGAATATGTACATACTATATCCTTAAGCGGGAAACTGCCCATCTAGGAGCCCCTTTAAAGGCCTAAGTATACATAATATAGGTACCTGAAGTGTTATAGGAATTGGGGCCCGATTTGGGCTTCAGGGTGCCAATTTTGAACAGTTTAGGGCCCTAAACCCTAAACCCTAAAGTTTAGGGCTTCGAAGGGCTGAGATTCAGAGGTTGGGGTGTTGGGTTTTTGGTGTTCTGATGACGTCTGACACGGCTCCTAGATTGTCGTACTTACCATGCTTCTAGGGTTTAGGTGTTTAGGGGTTTAGGGTTTAGGGTTTCGGGTTTAGGGTGCATAGTAAGGCATTGCCAAATCCACGAACACAGTAGCAGATACAAGGCCATAAGGTCAGGAATCGAACCGGCGACGTGGGGCTTGAGACTTCTGCAGGGCGTACAACTTATCCGAAGTTCCGGGTCATACAGTCAAGAAACGTCGAGGCCTAAGTTCGGCACAGTAGTAGCAACATTCCTTATAAGGTTCCGTATTATGCTCATAGTAAAATCATTCAAGAAACCGTGTTCTAGTTGTTGAGGCCCCTACACTTTCGGGTTTTATGGCCTCAGGGCTCCGGGCTCCTACTGTCAGGGTACTGCCTTCTGCAGGACACAGGCAAAATACATCTGTGGTTCAGGCCCATCCCGATGGGGCCCATGGAAACCTACAGCAATTCCCGTCTAAGTTGCCGAACATTGTTCAAGGTTGGCGACTGGGGCTTACAGCCCTACCCTAAAGACCCTAAGCTCTAGGCCCTGTAACCGGCAGGGTTTATGGGGATTTTGCCGACGGCCCCTAAATCCTAAACCCCAATAACCTTAAACCCTAAATCCTACACCCCAATAACCCTAAACCCTACATCCTAAAACCCAATAATCCTAAACCCTAGCAACCCTAAACCCCAAAAATCCTAAACCCTACTAACCCTAAACCCTAAATCCCAAACCCCGACGGTGGCTTTCCTAGTCTCGGAGAACCAGGCCTGCAAGGCGGCGAGGTACGGCACCGCACCCTGAGAGGCCTTCCGAAGCACTGGAAAGCGTCGCGATGAAGTCTATGAAGGTTCAGGGTTTAGGGTTTAGGGTAGGTTTAGGGTAGGTTTAGGGTGTAGGGTAGGTGAGGGTAGGTGTAGGGGTTTAGGGTAGGTTTAGGGTTTAGGGTAAATCAGGGTTTAGGGTATAGGTTTCGGGTTCAGGG